AAAGCTCAAAAATGTTTAAAATAAAGGCCAAAATAGTTAGTGTTCTTTCTCTATACTTCCTGTTGTTAATTTGCATACTCCAGCATCTCATCTCCCTGCAATTTCTGTTCCCATCAATGAGATTTTTTTTTTTAAATCCTATTTAATTTTTGCTGGGAGTAGATGAAACACTGTGGCTGCTTTCCTTGGCCTAAGGGAAAGTTATATGCGTGCAGTAAAACTACTCCCTGCTATTATCACCCGAGGAGTTACACACATAAAACCAGTTTTTATCCATGAACGAAAAGAGAATTGGAAATGCTTGTAAGTTATTATAATTGGTGAAAAAGATTGGATTCAATAGGTGATTTTCTCCACTCTTCCAAGTGTAAGTAGAGCCCTTCTACCTCAGGAGAGCTGTGCTGATTTATAACACTTAAGGATTTTACCCACAGTAAGGAGGGAAAAGCATAAAACACTCTTTTTTCTTTTTTTTCCCCCTGAAAAAAAGAAAAGGAAAAAAAACCCAAACCCTTCCAGCCTCCGAAATCCACTGAGTTTTAAAGGAGAAAGAGTGTGAAGACCATGTCTCTGTGAGAATCTAGGATTTGAAAAGTGACAGAAAAGCAAAACAGAGGAGAATGGAAATAATCCAACACAGGTGAGAGAGATTTAGTTCCCTTTCTGATTACACTCGTGATTAAATTATGCTGACATACATGCATTTTCAAGGAATTCTTTAGGACAAAATAAACTCTTAAAACTGGCAATATTTAAGATGCGACATTTGAGATGATTTAAGGTGATCAAAACTTACTGAAAGAGTGTTCTTCGAAGAGCCATGGGAAAATTCCTGGTTAAAATGAAAGAAGTGCCATACTTCAACACAGCCAATATTTATGGGTCACTCGCTTGTGCAGTATAGTGCCACTAAGCCACTAAGGCTGGGAGGTATCCAGACCACAGGGTATTTAGGTAGTAGAAATGGGGCTTACTGCAGCATTTGGTGAGGATTCCATCTGACATTTGATCAGTTATTCAGCTTTCAATATTGCATGATCACAACACAGCTTCCCCATTTGAAGTTAGTGCTGGAACCAGAGATCCTCTCAGCATCCCAGTTTGCTGCACTGGCTTTAGCAGGGGAACCTTCACAAGGGATCAGCTGTGCTTCACATTCTGTCTTGTGCAACACCCTCTCGTTTACCAGACAGGGATGTTAGCAGTGCGATGATGAGGGTAAAAGAGCTTTGACAAACACCAAACCCCATCATCATCTCATTTTGGTGAACTCCACATTTTTTCCTAAATAAACTCCATGGAAAACTCATGTGGGAAACCATAACGTGCTACAAATGAGAACCCACAGATTTTTTCCCCCCCTTTTTTTCCTAATATGTGAATGTAGGGATAAAATTACTTCATTGAGAAATACATGATACAAGAAAGAACACAAGGGTAGAAGAAAAAAATATCCCAAGTCTACCGATGCCTAAAGCATTTGTTTTTCCTCAGGAAAAAAGTTCTATCTTAAAGCTCTCCTATGCCACAGTGCCTAAAATTCACTGGAAACTGATGTACTGAAATGACTGTTCAAACCAGTGAACAATCATTTATCATTACTTCACTCTTCTGCATGGTACTGATATTCCTTCAAACTGAAAATACGTAATAATCTTTCAGACATTAATGCACAAGTGACCTTCAAAACCCAAACCAAAACACTTAACCTGAACTTCTAATGAAAATCAGTATTTTTCAGATCAAGCTCTGCTCAGGATCTAGAAACAAAGATCAGCCTAAATGCTTTGCAGTCACTCCATGGTGGTGTTGGTACTTTTTGCAGTTTTACCTGAGAGTGACTCAAGTTTACTCATGTATCACTAAATGGATTCTATTGCTGTTGTGCATCAATTCCCTTCTCTGTTGAACTGTTCACCTCCAGTGTTAGCCAAGCATAATAGCATGGTTTTTGATACTGTGGAAACATGCACAAATTACAACCCAACAACCACAATCCTGGACATATTTCTATAGAGGGTAGCAAATATAGGTCTCTCTTCTTAAGAAAATCAGTGCTTTGTCATTTCTTTTGGTCTCCTGTTGCACAGGATGTCTATCTAGTTGGAAACTGTGCTATGAGAATCATTAGAATATGCCAATTTTCCATGTTATAATTTCCTGATAGAAGTTTCCATGAATGTATCTAAAGTTCAAGACGATAATCATGAGAAGCCAAAAAACAATATCCACTCCAAAATGAGGCAATTACTGGGCTAGCCCTTTGCATCCAAAAGGCCACGTTTAGGCTCTTGCTCTGGTCTACCCAATTCCTGTTAAGGTACTCAGGATTTTAGCTAGAACTGAGGTTATAATCTTTTAGGGTGGATATTAGGAAAAAATTATTTTCTGAAAGAGCAGTTAAGTTTTGGGAAAGCCTGCCCAGGGACTAGCAGAATTTCACATGGGCCCACTACTATATGGTGCTGTGAGTTGCAAATTCCTCTCCTCACTTTTTACATAAATTCTTGATATAATGTCAGAAATAAAACAGATTTAACTGATTTAATTCTTTATTGTGGCTATAGAGTCACTTCAGGAATGGCAATGGGCAACATCCGACTCCAGAACGCAATCTAAGTCCCTGTTTGTAAGTGCAGTCTGGTGCTTTCAAAGACTGCTCACAATGGGTGATGTAAAAGCTCAGGTGCTTCAACAGCCACAGCCGCTCCAGGCTTCATCTCCAATGCTGTTGTGAGGAATTCAGAACTGCGCACTGGATGTGATTTGCTACGCAGAGGGTGAAGTCTGAGCAAGGATTTTCTTGGTTGTAATCTAACTTTGACATCATGTGGCACTATTTCTGTTCCAGTAACGAATATGTTGGCAAGCATGGTCCTTAAATTCTGCCATGTTCATGTAACACAAAGGCAAACTGAAACATGTCTTGTTTAATGTTTAATATCTACTTAAAGAGAAAGGTTGTTTTCTGTAGAACTGGTCTTGTCTAAGCTCCTTTTGGTGAGCAATCAGGTTTTTTACTTTTTTCTTGTTGATGTAAAAACAAGTGTCTTTCATTGGAGAACTTTTGGGCAAAAAGCAAAAATATTTTGGTCCCAAACCAAAAAAACTTGAAGCTTAAAATGGCAAACCTCTCATTTTCAGCCAAACAACGAAAACGTTGGTTTTGGCTGAACATTTTTGGCTTTTCAACAGAAGTGATCTTTTTCTCAGTCAAAATTTTTCCATGAGGTGAGGAATAAACATTACGGTTAAAGGCGAGTGTAACTGGAAGGAAGGAGCAAAGGCAGAGATAAGGAATAAAAACAGTTTATCACAACCATCATGAAGCTACTGTTACCAAGGTCTGCTAGCAGCTATGCACCAATCCAGTAAAGAAACCCTGAAACCTATAGCCTGGTATATTTATAGCATGATTCACGGTCACTGGATGTTCTATAAACACATTTATTGAGCTGTTTTTCTCTCAATTGTTTCCTTTTTTAGAAAATTATCACCAGGAAAAGCACTTGCAGACTATTCCTACCTGCGCAGAGATTTCATTGCTGTCCTGGTGATCTCAATTGCTACACAGGCAATAAATAGTTCTGTGTGCTTGTGACCAACCTTGTTAATTCATGAAAATTGCAGTCCCATGCAGGCATCTGTCAGGAGATGCCTTGTCACCCCTTTCCCACCTGCTGTACACAGTCTCAATCTGGAGCAGATCGGGATGTGTTTAGGGATGGCAAGATGAGGGCTTCCTACAGGAACAGGGCAAGCTGCTCTCACCCAAATTTCCAAAATGGTGTTCTCTGCACAAATCCAAATCTCTGTGTTGGGCTCTGCAGATTGGCTATTCTTGTGGCACGGATTGCATCCAGCTCCTTTGTGGCACAGATTGAGTGATCACAGCGAAAGAGGTGAGATGGGAAAAGCTGGTGGGTAGGAGGATGGGGATCCTCCAGATCAGCAGAGGCAGAAAAGATGTTCTGCACTCCAGAGCTGGCCTGTAGTGAAGTTCTTACTGATGGTGCATGTCTGATTTCTATACTCCTTTTTTTTGTTCTGCCCAGTACTTGGCTTTAAAGAGCAAGTTTTATCACAGCACGGCATGAGTGCTAGGCTACTCCAAAGGCTGTGCAGTGTCAAGAGGAGAGCATTCCCCTGAATGACCAGGGCATGCTCCTGTGCTTTCCTTTTCTCTTTACAAGTCTTCAGGAAATACTTGATCATTGAAAGCACTGCTGCCAGCATCATACACAGCAAAATAAACTCCAAGTAAACTACAAAGACCTGATGCTTTTGTCCTCTATCTTTTGTGCAGAAACCATGATCAGAAACAACTTTTTTAATCACTGACTGTTTTAATGTTTCCCAACCAGTTCATAAAGCGGCTTTCAGGACATGACGCAAAACAGCAGTTCAAAGCCATAGATCTTTCTAGTTAATCTAGAAGATTAAGCACCTCACAGCCACTGGAAAGTGCTCCTTGGGACTACAGTATTATGGCCTGGATAAATCTGGTTTTATAATCCTGCTTAGTCAACACTGATCTGGATAAACGGAGACCCATCGTTTGAGAATGAAGCTCAGAAAGAATGATTTGGGCAAAGAGAGGAAAACAGCAGCACATGTTTTCGACAGGGACAGGAAGGTGGCATAGGATGTTAAACCACGCCAGGGACAAAGGATAATCCCCAATTGCCCTTTACAATGGTGTTTCACAGAGTCACCTTACTGTGTGTCCTGGGGTGAGCGCGGTGGGCAGGGCCAGCTTGGCTGTGCTGAGACAGCTCGGTCCTGCAGCCAGCAGCAGACTCTGGGACAAGGTGCTACCTGAGATCTGGCACGGTCCTGAACATGCATGAATGCCACCGAGATCAAGGAAACTTGCGGGGCAGCCAAAGTGCTCATTTCTGAGGGCAAAAATAGATTATACTTATCTGCCCTCCTCACCTTGAGGGAAGAACTAAGAATAGAAGTAAATATGCACACTAATCAGTTGATTTCCAGGAATCCCAGCTTATGTACCAGCATTTGACATAGGAGTAAATGTATTTCTACCAGAAATTCCTCATGAGAACTCAGCTAAACCATTGCACCACCCTGCAGCTGATAACAGCCTTTAGCAACCAACAGTAGAGATTTTATTTTTTTTTATCCCCAAGGATAGCAGTATTTGTCCTCCTTTACTTTGCTGATTTGTCCTTTACCAGCACTCCAGGAAAGCTGAAATGAAGCTTGGCTCATGGATGTAGCTGAGGTAATTGTTTTCCTCTTTATGTTTTTTTAATCATTTCTGAAGTTAGAGACATGTAAAGACAAAGCACCTTACTTACAAAGCTTTCTGATGAAAGGATGAAATGCGGTCTGTACTCTTGGCTAAAAAAAATACCCTCAGTTCTACAAAGGCTTCAGTTTTCTAACAAGTTTTATATTCAACTGCAGCCAGCTCAAGTTTGAAGTGCATTAGATTGTTACATCAGCAGCTTAACTACTGGGTTATTAAAGCGCTGATCAGATGAGTGAAGAACCGGAAACATTTATTGCAAGTAAGAATTTTAGGAAATACCTTTTTTAACACTTGTGAAAGAAACACTTGTGTGTACAAATATTGATAAATGGTGCAAAAAAAAAAAAAAAGTTAGAAAATAATTGTATTTAAATCCAGGTTGCCTGTATTTCTGAACATGTGCTGCTAAGGCATAAATTATTGGCTTAGTACACACATTATGGCCAAAATTCACTTGTCAATGTTTTGCACATTGTCAGATCAGCTGGTCACAATGGCTTTGTGTTCTAGAGGAGCTGCTTTATTCAAACAAAGATTTTGCAATTAGCTCACAAGCGAAAATCAATTTGAATTATAGAGCTTTCTAATACAGAGCATTTGTCTGCTCTGAATCGATGCAAAACCTTTGCCAGTAAACACAGAGAGAATGGAAGTGTTGAATGTGCAAAAGTTTGCTCCTACTCACCCAAAGTGATAATATTAAAATAAGTGTTCCAAGTACTTCATGGCAGCAAAATCCAGAAATGAGAAAAGAAAGCTTTTAGAAAACAAAGCAGCACGTGAAATTCATTACCTGAGTATCATATCATTTTGGCTCAGAAGTGCTGCCAGGGGGACACAAGAAGGAAGGAAAGATCCCATTCCTCACACATTTGTTGCGATCCAGAAACTTTGCTTTCTTGAGAAACTTCTGCACTAAAATCACTGGAGCTAATATTGCAGAAAACTTTTGGACATAGATTTCTATTATTCTCCTCATTTAAATTTTTTCATCAACTACATAACAGAAAGTGTCAAATCAGCACTGAAGATTCCTCTTTTTCTTTCTGTTCTTCTCTTTCCATTGCCTTAGAGAAAACTGTGTCTTAGTGTTAAAGCAGCGAGATCCATCCAACTTAAGCAAAGGTTACACAAGCTAATACAATTACTACGGTCTCCATATTTTCCCAATAATGAATCTAGCTCTAATTCAGAAGATATGCCCTGTCTGGGAAACAATGTGAGGTTGAATGAGGACAGAGCAATGAATGAGATGTCATAAAAGCCTGACGTTCTTGAGTGCCAGCAGAATGGTTCTTTTCTGATGGGTGCTCTTGGGTTGCTAATTTGAGACATTTGGAGCATTTGGTATACAGCTGTTCAGCTCTGAGTGCAACGGCAAGCATTTTCAAGCTAAAACCACAAGAATGAACCGATGAGGCCATTTGGAAGCCATGTTCAGAGAACTTACCTCCTCTGAATACACTGTTAGATTTTAGGAGCAGAACCCCCCTCCCTTCCCTGCTGGTTTTCCTTTTGCACTTCTCTAAGCACCTGACCTTGCCAGAGATGCAGATATTGTAGGCAAAGAACCTGGGAGCAGAGTTTCACCATGCTGGGTGATGCCAGCGGTGGGGTAGAGGGAGGAAAAGGGGTCTCATTCCACAGACAACTCCTTGTTCTTCATTAGAGAATCTGTAGCTATAGCAATTGATATGGACTCTTTCATTTCTTCCCTAACACGTGCACATGCAGTATGCAGTATGCTTTGCTGATATGTTTTACTGGTAGGAACCAGCTTGGGATTGTCCAATAGGAGGAGATAAGAATCAGTGACTGTTTTTTCCATAGTTGATTGGTTTTGTTAACTGTTAACCTGTTTACTGATCTTGTGGTAGTGGATGACATCTATCCGAGCTGTCACAAACAGAGATATTCAGTGCACTGCATTAAAATGAAGAAGATCAAGGCCAGTGTCATAGACATAAGGAGAAGGTGTTTTGGTCAAAGGGTAAAACGTGTGAGACTGGAATGCATGATGAGTTTCCTCTCGATCAGTGACTGAATTGACCTGAGTTTAGAACTTTCATCAGCAATCTTGGGCCTGTTAAAAAATTGGGAATGAAATGTGGATTCCGGAGGAAGGAAATACCAAAAGGGGAAAACCAAGCAGTCTCGATGGACTGAGTAATGGAAGTGGGCTGGAAAATTAGTAACACATAGTGTCAAACCACAAGTGGTCATAGCAAGAACTTTTGCTATATATTCAGAATACATCAGATAGAAAAAAAGAGAGAAGAGGAAGATGTGGTTATGAACAGTGGAAAAAGATGAATCCAATCCAATGTATCAGAGGAGGTAACTGCAGATAGGAAAGTATTAGAGTAGTTGTAGTACTGTAATTACATTTTTAATTGAAAGACTATGAATTTTTTCTCATATTCTTTTTTTTTCTTCTTCCTTCTGAACTGTAGTAATTTCGACACTCTGCACATTTCTCTATCTTTGACTGCATGGAAAATCAAACATGAAATTGGTGCTAAAAACGGGGTGCACAGTTTGTTCTTTAACCAACTCCTGAAACCTTCAAAATGCTTCGTTGTGAAGTGCAGGAATCTGAAAATGACCACCAAAGAAGAATCAATGTTATTACATTGTTTCTTTCTCTTTTTTTTTTTTTTTTTTTTTTCCATTTTCTTTTCCCCCTGGTATTTCTAGAAAATTTTATGATAGACTTTTATGCCATCAGATTGCTGACAGTAATTTTGCATCTTCAGTTTCTTTATTTTTGCCTCTTAATACTTGCGCTGCTTTTCTGTAACCATCCTCAAGAATTAAACTGCTTTTAGAAGTCTGTCAAGTTTGTTCAAAGTTCAACAGATTTGAAGACAAAAAGGGGAGACCAATTCACAAGAATGGGCTGATTCATCTGTTTACTGTTTCAAAAACTGCACACCATGTGCCCTTGATAACTTTTGCTAGGGCATCTCCTTAGATCTCATTCTATAGCTTTCTCACTCCCTTATAAAGAAAAATGAAAGAGAAAAAAAAAAAACCCACAATACTAATTTCAGCAACTGACTTTAAATATTGTGCTTGAGCTTCTAAGTCAATTTGAAGAAAAACACAGAGAGGAGAGCATAGCCACACAGAGCACGCGTAAGACTGATATCCTTCTTCCTCTACCCTTCCCCTCTACTACAAGCATTCAGTGCCAGTTATTCTGTTACATAGCTGTCTCTGAAAGCTTGCATATGCAACTTTATCAGGATTCTTATGTTTCTTTCTGCCGCTGATGTTTCCATCCATTCCTGCATTTAAGAGTAAATCAAATATAAAGTGATGTTCACCATGTACACGCTGTGCACAGCACACTTGCCTGCCTATTTTTCACTTCCTTTTCACATCATTCTTAATAGGCCTTTAAGGACATATCTGTATTCCCGCAGTGTTATTTATGGTTCTGACATCATCCCTCAAGGTGAACAGTACTTTGCTGTAGAGTATTTACTCTTTTATAGTAAATCTGCCTGCTGCTTTCTATAAAAACAGGAAAACAGCTGCAACTTTTATAGGTGAGAATGAAGGTTTCTCCCCCCTCCTAACATACATTTCATCATGGGGAAGTTAAAAGTGATTCTGGGAGGAGAAACACAAAGCATGAGTGTGGTCCTTCCTGACTGAATTCTATCTGTATTCCTTCAGCTGACATTAAACAAAACGCATAAAGCCTCAACAGATGTTTTTATTATCATGCATTACTTATGTGAATGCAATATGGGCAAGCACAGTACTAAATAAAAGAATGAAGTGACCTTGGACCATGGGAGTAGGCCTTTCTTTACAAACATCTTGTTAAGTAGTTAAGTGTATGCACAGTGTCTTTGAATTAACTAGCACAGAGCAAAACAAAATCTGTACAGAAATACAGTCAACAAATCACAGGCATTGGGTACTTTCACTACAGAGGCATAGGAGATTCAGAAGGTTTAACAGCTTCTACTTGCCTCTCCAAGAGCACATTTGGTAGAGAGAACTTGCAAATACCATGCAAAGAGTAGCTCTGGAGTGGTTTCTAGCACCTGCATCTAATTAGAAACAAAGTAAAGCATAATTATTTTTAGTTATTTTTTTTTCTGCCTCTTTTGTAAGTGCAATTTTAAAAGGAGTCGCTTATACTATTTCCACTTGCATCTGATCTGAACAAAGTGTGATGCTGTAGTGCACAACACGTGCTTCAACCCCAACTGCCTCCAGCGCTTTATGCACTTAACACAATGAAGCTTTCTGACAGCTGGAAAGATCTGAAAGGCTGGGGGAGATGAATGGAAACTTCTTAGTATTACCACCTCTGGGATATGTCTTTGTATTAGCATTTCAAATGAGGAATTCTTATGAATGAAACCCCTCATCAGTGATTATCAATGGGAAGAGTTCATGTGTCAGTCCACTCCAGTTAGTGTGTATTTTGTTAAATTTCATATACTTAGAACAACGTGGAGCAAATCAGGGTCAAACCAAGAATCAACATTGTTTTAAAGCAAAATATCTGCTTGCTCAAAACATCAGTGCCTTAAATGAAGCACTGAATCCAGATTGTCTTTACCCCTAGATTGCAGTCTCTGCTGGTGTTTAAGCCTCCTAAAAGTCCATGCAAAGCCTCAAAGTTCTTGTCCAAAATGCTCAGTATAGTGTTTACCACATTATATGCTGCTCTATGTGTTATCTCAGAGGACTTCCAGGCCCAAGTCTGAGATTTCTCTTCCTGACATAGGCAATCCAAAATATCACAGTTGTAATAGAGCACTGCTGAACTCCTCAAGGCTTCAACGGAAACTAGAAGCTTTATTTTCTTAGCTGGCTGATCAAGCATTATGTCTGAATCTTTAGACAACTTTTCTTCCAAGTGCTCTCCACGAAGTTAATGGGAGCACAAATGTGTTTAAATAAAGACAACTTATGGAAAACATTCATAAAGACAAACTTGTCTCTCGTGATCAGTTTTGCTGATGTGTGTAGACTGGACACTGTCACTACAGCTTCATAAGAACTTTAGAATTTGCTCCCTCTTTTGTTCCACTGTCAACTGGCCAAATATTTCAAACATTCTCCCTTAACAAATGTGCCCTTGTGGGGGAAAGTCCATTAGTAACAGAGTACTTGCATCTTGTCAGGACCAGACTTTAATGGCTGTTTGAATTTTAACTATTATTTGCTAGCTGTTCCTGCTCAACCCAACTACATCCATAATAAAAGCCATTAAATACCAAGTAACTGGCCTCAGTGTAGCTGCAGGGTATAATGCTGAGTATGATCTGAATTTATCCATTGCAAAGCAAAGACTTTGACCCACACAAACCTTCTGGAGATGGAAACTGTTTTTTGGAAGGAGATTGCCTGTTGCAAGAATAAGAGTATTCTTCTTTGCCACAGGGAAGATTACGCATAGTCTGAAGGTAACATGGCAGATTGTGAGCCATTTTCCTATTTACAGGATGAATGAAGACAGTGTAAAATATTTGGTAGTGACTTACCACACTAAACATGAGACAAGGCAACCTGCTGTTTGAATCAGTGGCAATGCACACTGTGTAGAAGACAGAAAATGCACTGCATTGGCTCAGCAAAAAGCAAGGCAGCTGTCAGATTCCTGGATAAAAAGGCCATGTGAGTCAAGCTGAACTCTGCATTTTTTTGTCCCTTGCCATTATTGCTACTCTCTGAGAACCAGAAAGCCCTCACTGCACAGAAAGCATAACTCTGATTATCGCTGCCCAGCGATACTGCAGGGCATGAGCAAAGGAACTGCAGCAAGCACAGATAGAATGGTAAGTTGTTGTGGTTCACATGGGTAAGTGAGGCTCACATGCAGTTGTGATGTGAGCCCACAAATGTGGGCAAGTGGGCACATGAAGCCTTGATTGTGCAACATCAGAGAACACACCAGAAAAATTCTCGGAACATCCATGGGTCAGAGTAGGTGATTAAAGCCTCTTCTCTTCCCAGCAAGAAGAACACAGACACTGCTCAATCACAGCTTTGTCCTGCTGTAACCTAAGAAAGGAGGCTGAGATAAAAAGGGGATGTGCCGTCCATCTCCTGAGCAATAGTTGAAGCAAAGCATTGCATCACAAACCAATGGAAAAATGGCACTGCCCCTTGAGAGATCTATCTTCCCCAGTCTTTATGTTTTTTTGCAAGGATGTGGGGTCTAAGATGAACACTGGCAGCATTTCCACTTACACAACAAATCTGATTCTAAGCCATTTAAAGTGGTTAGGAATCATAAATCAAAAATCTGTAGAAGAAAAATTAAAGGCATGGTCAATATGAGAAGAATGGGTATCTCTCACGTAGATGTGAGGTAACAGAGACAAGTAAAATACTCAGTGCATGAAAGCAGAAAGGTAGGACAAAGGTTAAAATAAAAGTTTTCTGGTTATTTACTCATGGCCCAATCAAAGTCAACTGAAGAAAACAGAAAGCCTTAGTGAGCTTTGGGATAGACTGCTAAGACATTTGCACATCTTAAATGCTTGCTGGATGCAACCAGCGCACTGAGACCAGAGTACTGAATGCAGAATTAAAAATAAACAACACATTAGCTCAAATGTGAGCATAACACAGAGCTCACAAAGCAGTTTTCCATACAAAGCCCTTAACTCACAACAAAACCGACAACAGAAGAAAAAATAACACAATCAAAACCAAAATTCAGCCCTCACAAGTGATGTTCAAAACAATGCTTGGCTGGAGAGATGAGTTTTACACCATATTCCAAATCCAAGCAAGCTCCACAGCTGGAGACACTAATCTGAAAATGTTCACTGCATGAACTGATCCCTGCAGGGGTCAGGAAGAAATTTATTTCCCTGAAGAACAATAACGTATTGGCAAGGTGTACCACAGGAATGCTTCACCTTTTTGAACCAGCGAGTGTTGCTGGTGGCTGGATAGCAGACTTGACAGACCATTACGTATCATCTGTTGAGGCAATATCAGTGTAATATTGAAGGTGGCCCTGCAAAAAATGTTTAGCTGAAAGAACTTCATATTCCTGTAGGAATAGCTTACTGAGGCTTCACTAGCAAGTTACTCAAGCTGAGATTAACGATACTTTGCTCGCTATCTTAAGTAAATCATAACACACTTTGCTTTGAAGGTGCTTCACATAAAGCATGCAGCGTGTGGGGGAGCAACAGAGTTCACCTTCTTTGAATTAATTGACTTATGCAAAATTGGCTCTCTCTTTCACTGAAAAGCATAATGCTGTGTAATTTCCTGGGGCTGGAAAGCACATTCCAACATAGGTTAAAACTTAAACTGCTTCCAGAGTGCTTGGATCATCCCTGTGTTTGAGTGAAATGTGCTAGCTGACATTTAGGTCCAGGAAAGCCCTGAGAAAGCAGATAATCAGCTATCCAGTAGTGGTTTTCACAGAATGATATTAAAGTGCTTGAGTTACAAGACTAATTTGCTTCTGTATATGTTCTTTTTTTATTATTATTTTATTAGAATCAGCTCAGGAGTTTGCATGATTCCAATGATGTTGAATGGGGATTAGTTTGAAGTGAAAATGTGTTTTCCATTTGTCTGAGAAAGACACAACAGGGAGCAGAGCCCAGGAGATTACTGAAAGCTCTGGGTGATTCTGAGAGGCCAAAGGCCGAGTGACTTCAGATTTCAGTGGAGTGCAATAACCCCTTAGAAATGCACAGCCTGGTGTGTCTGATTGTGCAATTATGGTATGGAAACTGTGGTGCATTTCTGAGCTGTGGATTACTCATGGTATATCATTAGCACAGGTATGATACCAGCGCTGGGCACTCAGCAGTACCAGCTGCATCTGGAGTTACCTGCAGAAAAAACTTCCACTTCCCTTTTCCCTGCTTCACTGGGATGCAGTGTCTCTTCTTAAGTTTGACAGCAATTCAACTACAGAGTAGCAAACGGTGTAGCTGATTAGCTGATTATGTAGCTGATTAGCTGATTACCTGATCTGTGGATGACGAGTTAGCCATTTTACCCACCTTAGGATATTTATGCAGTTATTAGTGGGAATTAAGAATTGTTATTTCAGGGATCAAAGAGGCTGCACTGTGCACTGTTTTCCTATTCTGTGCTATCTGTGACATATGGTAGACTTAAATCTTTGTACTTATCACATGCCTTGCCAACGCAGGAACATATTGGCTTGTTTCATAATGTGTCTTTTATTTATTCACTTCAATTTGGTTGCTAAAACAAACATTTTCCTTGTCTGCATAGCAGTGTTTTCTGTGTGTTTCTACAGGTGCACTTAGCAGCCCCATGATTCTCCCTGCATCCATCCTGAATGCCAGCTCCAGATGTGGGTGCCCTAAGAGACATCTCAAACATCTCTGATGCCAGATGTGACAGACCTGAATCTGGGGAGCCTTCTCACCATGACTGCTCAACATCTCATATCAAGAGAAAAATGTTGTGTCTACAGGGGCAGCAGCACCCATACAATCCTTAATTATACTTAAATTTTTGCTTTCAGAGAGCCAAAATACTTTATCCACGATGGGAGTAATACAATAATGTTGTCCCTACTGATTTTTCCTTTATTCCAACTATTTGCTAGCTGCCTTTCTCTGGATAGATTTGAATGCTGTTAGTGACCTTGTGAAAACACTGTTGTCATTACTAGAACCAGGTCATAAATACCCCTGGGCACAATGAAATGTCTCACCTGCAATTCTTCAAATAGTTTCCACTGCTGTTAATACTTTGAGGTGTATGAGGTCTCGCACACGTCTATCCACTAAATAGCTATCACCTGCACACAATATTTTGGCATCAAATATCTTCTACATAGAATTCATAGAAGTCTTACTTGAGGATTTATCAATGCACCAAATTCCTGATTTCCTGGAATAGTTCATCTAGAGGGAGAAAAATCAGCTTCAAATGGGAAACGGAACCTTTCCAAAGTTCATTGGTGTTGGAGGTCAAGTTTTAGTTCAGCTCATTACAGACACAGATGTTAAATTCAGATTAGGAGTTACATTTTGGAAAAGTTTAAGATGTTTTGGGATCTGTGGTTTTGGCCTAACCCTCTCTTTAATCAAAAATGACATCCCTGGGCAAGAGAGTCTTCAGCTTTTTCGTACCTCTCAGAAACGTGCATTCAGACATACAGAAGCTATTTCAGTCTTGATGAGGTAACTCAGGTCATGTTTATTACCACAGCACAGTTGAAAAATCTCCTCCTGTTCAGACAAAAACCCTCTTCCACACCCACATTTCATTTTTTGCCTACAACTTTTACAACTTTTTGGGGAGTGTTTTGTTTTAATGAAAAAAAAACCAACCCAACACTGTTTCATTATGATTGTCAAATCAAATACATCACATTCAAAGAAAAAATTTAAGTGAAGACTTTCTGTTGTTTGTCAGCTGTGGCCTCTGTGAAAATAGTGGTTACTACAAGTGAGATGCTTTTGGATGTGAATATTTTCCTTTGAGATCTTTTTAATTACTTCTATGAGAAGCACAATGACTGAAGTCATGTTAAATTTAGAAAACAGCTTCTTCAAGTCTCCGCAAGAAATGCTTGCACACTCATTCCTCAATGCAGGTTTGTATTTTGTTTATCCCACTTAAAGGGCTGAAGAGTCCTAACGTACACCTTACGTGAAACACTAAGACACCAATATGGACCTGTGGAAATACTTTCATGTGGTATCCCTGAAAGATCTGACTCTGTGTGCTTTCACCTTCTGAAACTTTCTGATCTGAAAGTGGTGCCTGGTCTCTTTGCACAGAGTTCAGAATGCACTACAGAGAAGGGCACCAAAAGAGGGACTGCAGCAGAAAGCCAGCTTGTGCAGGTCAGGCCTCACTGCCTCACTGCTGTGCTGTTCTTCAGCCACCTGCCTTCAGAGCAAAGGCTGGGTTGTATCCTTGTTTAAACAGAAAAAAAAACAGCAACAAAACATCTTATATAGCAGTCAATTTACAGGATTGTATTATAATCACAGCTAAAAATCTGATAATCGTGATGTACGATGTAAACAGCATTTATGAGTACTTATAAAAGTGAATGTAGCTACTCAATGTTATTTCTTCCTAGCAGGTAAATAAAACTTTCATTTTATATGTGGGTGAACAAAAGACTTAGCCACAGCCATGTGAAACCTGGAACTGACCCCAGACATTCTCTGTCTAGCATTACACAAGGTAGAAAAGGAATTTACTAAATATAGTATTTTCTGCCCAATATATGTGCCAAACAACTGGAAAAAGAAGTTAAAAGGATACACATGAAAGCAAAAGAGTACCTCAACTACTTTATGTAAAGAGATGAGAGAATTTAGTTTGAGTAATTTCAGAACAAAATGATATCAACAGATTGGACAACATTCAGAAGTGACCAACAATGATTCTGAGCTGGGGAGACTGATTCATAAAAGTAAAATAATACTGCTCATTTGTACATCTTGTTTTACCAAACATAACATCAGTGTTGGAAAGGGATGGTTTAGTGGGGTATATGAAACAGCTATAATTAAAGGGATGAGGTCAAGGAAACAAACGCCCCAGATAGCAGGGAAAACTTTCTGACAGTGCTATCTCTTAAGCTGCAACACTCTGCAAGGAGAAGTGATTGAGGCCACATCTCCTAGAATGGTTGAAATTAGATTAGCCAAAGCACCAGAAAATGCAGCACAAAAAGCAATCCTGGCTTGGCAGGGGAGAGGACAGGATTAGCAGAGGTCTTTCCTACGGTTACAGAGGAGCTGTTGTAGGGGTTCAGAGTTATTTTTGCCTTTTACAACAACTGTTTGATGAACGACTCCATTATTTCCCAGCTGTCAATGAATAAGAAGAAAGTGTTTCCCGTGGAGTAAAATCTTTCCTGTAAGGTAAAGAATCAACTGGAGAAAAATGCCAATGTCACATTCCAGTGCTTCACTCCTTATTGTGCTTGGCATGTTGCTTCCTCTGTCCTACACAGCAATTGGTCCATACCAGGACAGAACCAGCCTGTTCTGTCTAATAAAATTTTATTGCATTGCTTTTCAAAATAATTTCTATACTAGCACTCTGAAAGCCAGGAAGGCACACAGGCAAGAAAAAACATGCTTACAACTCATTATGAGAATAGTTGCACAAAAGAATTTGACAATGCAGCACAGTTTGTCACATCAGTCTCGTTCCACTAATTGTTCCTTTTTTTTATTTAATGAAGAACCATCACCCTAAAATAGACTGTTTCCATAAGAATGCACAGAAATGAAATTGAAAATAAAATCATTAAGTCTTATTATCTGCACAGCCACGCCAAATTCATTTTTTCTTTTTTTTTTTCCAATGACCTTCTCAAATTCCTTTCTCTGTGTCAATTGTGCTCTCTTAAATATTGCGGGTAAGGAGGCAAAAGGGGTGAAAGGAAGTGGTCAAACCACCATGTTCTCTGGTGTTGCAATAATGGGAAGCTGACCATTTTCAGCATTGTCAGTAATTACAACGTGGGTTCAGCCCCTGGAAATACTCTCTCATCAGCAGCGTGCTGTTTGTAGTAAGCCCCCCTCAGTCCTTGACTTTAAAGAAAATCTATCAGAATCTGGGCTGGAATTTGCTTTGCCTCAGATGCCACAGTTCCCCATTTCGGGTTATGGAAGCAAAGCAGCTTCTGAGGTGACTCAGTAGACTAACAGTGCCCCATGCCTTGCTACAGACTTCTGGCTCTTGCTCAGCCACCTGACAACACAAACCTGTCATCATCCCTCATTTTTATGTTTTTCCTAAAAGTAGGCCCTGTCACAGGAAAGCTGAACACTGTTTAACTCAGTCTCTCGCTTTCGGTCCCCACCTGAACTCTACAGAACCCTGCACTTGGGCTGGAGGCAACCACGCAGCCTTGTCGTTAGAGATGGCTCCCAACTGCTCCTCAGGCCTCGTCTGAAGCCCTGTCAAGCTGCTAAGGGCTGCTTCACCTCCCTCACACACACTTTGCCTTCGTCGTTTCTGTGGGCTGTTCCCCTCCCTCTTCCTCCTGTTCTCCCTCAGAGCTTCCATAAGCGCAAAGCTTGCAGCTGTCCTCAAGGCGCCATGCTGGGCAGGAGGGTGGGCCAAGGGACTGCATGAAGACCCAAGGGGTGCAGAGGAGACCTTAGGGACATGTGTAGGCCGTGTGCTGTCATACCACTGTGTATGAAGCACTAAATATCCCTCCTATGACCTGGTTTGAGGAATTCCTGAAGGTATCCTGGGTGGAAAAGGATCCCATTATATAGCCTGTGCCCTCAGGCAATCTGTTCCAGAGCCCATTGAGCCTTTATGGACTGGTGTTTAATTTATTAATTTTACTATTTTTGTAATTTTCCCATCACAGCAGATTACAATGCTGTCTCTTCCAGGTCACCCTAATTTCCTTTTCAGTTCCAGTTCAGGTATCTCCTTGTTAAGGACAGAGGAACACTGGTTCCGAAACAAAGACAGATTTATGCAAGGCCCCATGAAATCCTGGGATCTGCAGAACAATGGTGTACACCAAAGGGCTCCTCCACTTCATCCTGGACATGTTGGAAAGTAGAGGAACTGATTCTATTTTCCAGGTTCCAAATTCACTTAAACATATAAAGAAACTTTCTTTCTCTCACAGCATGGAAAACACAAGGAGAAGTCTATGTTTCACAATGGGGAAAAATGGTTTTTAGATGGCTGCGAATGAACTGTTTAATATGAAGAGAGACAATCTCCATTTAATTTCCTCTGTCTCCAGCAAGATAAGTCCATCCTCTTCTTACATCAATGGAAGTTGTGGTCCGTAATTTCTCCTTCCACCCTTCTAGATGAACCTAATGTCCTTCACTCTTGCACAGGTTGATGACGTAGAGTCACCCTCACAAAGTCAAGTGCAGTTCCTACCTGTTCAAGTTCCATTAGCAAACACCACCCCAGAAGGGCCTGAGAAAAAGGTGGGTCACAGCCAGTCACAGCCCATTACATGCACTTAAAGGCTGGTGCATAGTCAGTGCACATTGATCCTTCAGGCACAAGTTCCTTTTTAGGCCATGCATCTCCACAGCATCTGCACTTGCAAGCAGTGACAAACAAACACCATCAGGCTGGTGGGATCGACTGCTTTTGTACTGTCTCATTCTGTGCACCTTCTGTTTGCCTGTTCTATTCTGATAGTGCTGAAAAGATTCCAATTTTTAATGGGGAAAAAAATGGAAAAGAAAAGCATAGTGCCATTGAGTCCTAAGAGTGCCATTGAATCCCTAACTCATTCCCCAGCTGTTTGCTCTTAGGCACTGGGGAGTTGTAAATAGCTGGAAGCAAGACTGCAGAACAGTGGTATATACATTTTGTAAATGGAGCTCTGAGTAATGTCCTGGTTTCAGGACCAGTGAAGTCAATAATGGCCTAGAATATACCACCATGTGCAGATTATTATAAAATGGAATAATAATAAAAGGGGTTCTGGATTTTCACAAGTTCAAGTCATAAAGAGGAGGGAAATTATATATTTACTCTGCCTTCCAGTCATTTTTTGTAGCTATATTGATACTTTTCTCAGAGAAGAGAAGGAAGAAGCAATGCTGTCATCTCTGGAGGAAGAAAAAGGAGAGGAAAAAAAAAAAAAGAAAAGACTTGAGTCTAACTTCAGTTCTGTAGGCATCTTTCAAGTTTAACAGTACTGCAGTCAATGGCAATAATCATTTAAGCAAGTCAGTATCTTCCAGTGGCTTCCAATTATAGACAGCTTTGCAAATAAAGGAATCAGTGGCAAAACCACTGTTGATTATCATGCGTTATTTGCCAGAACAAGTCATATTTCTTCATTACTACTAAGCAGAATTACAGTGAGTCATTCTATCAGAAAATCTGAACCATGCGCAATATTTAGGAGTAACTGTTCTATATAATATGGCCTAGGGGGGAAAAAAAAAAAAAACAAAACAAAAAGCATCAACAAGGAAAGACATAATGGAGCCATATTTGTTATAGAACTGAGTACAAAGAATTGTGAATACACTGAGGACTATAAAAATAGCAGTGTCCTGAAACCACATATTTGCGTCTGTGTGTATTAAAAAAAATCAGTTAATTGAACTTTCCCCGTTGGATTGTGCTTTGCTTTTTTTTTTTTGAGTCAAGTGGAATTATATTAATGGAAGTCATCTGTCAGCTTTGCAACCCAGTTTGCTCAGCACAAAATGGGTCCAACTGTTCTTACTGCAAGGTAGAATACATGGAATTGTGGAATTTCAAGATACTTTGTTAGTCAAGAGCTGAATTTCTCCTCTGGCATAGGTGTTTTTTGAACCTACCTTGAAGTAGATTACAGATGACATCTTCATTCTGGTGGATGGATGACAGATGATCTCTTATTGCTGTGGCTTACCCCAACACTGCCACTTTGACCATGAGAAGCTCTAAGATTGTCATGGCACTGTTTGAACAGTCAGAATAATGTCTACAGTGGGCTGTGGCCTTCACTCCTGCTGACTTGTGAGAGACTTCTGACTGGTAACCTGCAAAGCACATCTGAGGCTTTGCAGAGTAAAGAAGATAGTGAGTAAAAAAAGGACTGTCTGAATAAATTGAGGCTAAAAAGAAATACAGCACTGTACAAACACCAGGCCAGGCAAACAGTGATTGATTCAATGCAAGAAGAGACAAAATGGAAAGACTACATATGCAGCTGCCACAGTTGGAAGTGGTGTGCTTTGCACATGCTATGAAGCTCCAGCTTGTGTGACAGAAACAGTCATTTGCAGGAAAAGGGTATGTCATATTATCTACTCCAAGATGATCTTGTTTTCATTTTTATCTCGCGTGTGTTGTCATCTCCTGCTTTGTAGTGCTACAGACTGTATTTGCTACAAGCATGAGGCTACACTCAGCAGTGTGTGGTAATTAAGCCCTTTGAGGGTCATGCATATTTTAATTATTATTTCATTGTCGAAAGCTTTCCCACATGAGATGCAGTTTTGTATCTCATGTGGGACTGAAATAGGGGTCCTTCCTTCAGAACACCAAATATTAAGCAAACATTAATTTATTTTGAGCTATGCACATTTTAGATGAGTGTAAATCAATATGTATAGTTGGAAAAAAAATTTCCTCTATGTATTGGAAAGTTGAACTGAGACATCAGAGCTAAGTGACAAGAAGTGGTGGCTACAACAGAAAATGATTAAATGATTTGTTTAGCGTTTATGTACTGTATGAGTGCACCTTGTCTGTGTTAAAGTAAAGTAATCATAGGTTTTCCACCAGCAAGGGCTGTGAATTTTAGCTGTATTCCCTTCTGGGATTCTGAAGTTCTCAGGTTCCGGCTTACACAACAGCAGAGTCTAAATACAGACCAGTTTTTCATCCATGAAATGGAAGTTAAATAACACTTGACTGAAGTAGACAAAACAAGAAGATACGTAGACTAACTGGAAACATCAAGATTTGAAAATTACCTGATAGGAAAAGGGAGGGAAGGGGGATCAAAGACGTCCCAGGGAATGAAAAATTCCTTCACAGCACTTCCTGTTCTCTCTGTTATGCTAACCAAGGTAGGATTAGGTTTCAGCTGCCAAAAGAAATAACACTTGTAGATTTTTTTTGGTCTAGGGAAGTGGGATAGAAAGATTTAAGACAGCTTTTTCCGAACTATTTGCTTTTTGTCAAGCAGTCAAGTCTAGTTATTGTTATTAATTTGTATTACAGAACTACCAAGCTGAGACTGGATTTCCATTGTATTAGGTGCTGCACAAATATCCAGTCAAAGGCTGGTTTTACCTCAAAGAGCCCATAGTCTAAATAGAGCAGACAGACAAAGGGCACTTTGCCCTGAGTTGTATAGCTGCTTAGCAGTTGAGCTAGGAATTATCTCTCCTGAGTCATAGCTTATACCTCAGCTACTGAAGAACTATTCCGGAGAACAGAACTATCATTAAAAGAAATGAGCTTGCCTTCTTGTAAGCAAACATGAGATTGTATGAGAGTGACCTCATGAAGTTCATTGTCACCATGCAAGCAGATGTTTATGTGTCTACTTTAGTTCCTTGTGTCATGTCTCTGAGATTTCAGGGGAAAATGTTAGGCATAAAAAAGTAATACATGGTTGTTGTTTTTTTTCAGTGTTCGTGGAGCTCTCCAAAATCTGTTAAGGAACTTCAAGCTGGCCTCAGCCTTTGATAAACTATTGTCTGAGTCAGCTCCTCTAAAATTACAAGGAGTACTTAAAGGACTTTGAGAGCCTGGACTGCATCTGTGCTTCTGTAGATCCTCAGGGCTCCAGATATGAAGCCTAGAAGG